TAGGATCCCCTGGAACTCTAGTCACTGATGGCCCTGAACCACCCCGTGAGTGCTGCTAATCAAACCTGGGTCCTCTGGAAGAGCAGCAAGTGCTCTTAACCATAGAGACACCTCCTCAGCTCTCTTCTCAACATTTTAAAAAGTCTTTTTGGAGCTATTGGTACATCAGGGGATACTGTAGGGCATACAGCTTGCCTGCGGTAAATGGGGGAGAACTGCCGGAGGGCACTGTTGGCAATAAGTGTTTCTAGGCTCTTGGCATCTCATGAAGATAATTGAAAAAGTGCACACAAATGGCAAAGCAGCTTCATTTAAAGACGGTAGAAGATAACACTGCAAAGAAGCAGTAGCCTGCTGCAGCTAGAGTGTCCGAGAGCCCCAGTTATGGTGTGAGGCTTCATTTTTATGCAGCCCAGGAGAAAAGGTTGGTTGGTAGGAAGGTCTTTCTGTTTTGATTGATAGGACTGAATGATGTAAGCTCCTTTTACTATGTTTTCTCCTACAGTGCATCTGATTTTAATCATATCCATGTCCAATTTTGCACAAGCATAAGATAGTAAATAGAGGATGTTACCTAAAAGCTCACTCAGAGGACAGTTACCTTAATGTACATGAGCCCCAAACCAGTTTGAAGTAATGGCTGTGTTAGGTTTTGTATTGATGCAACAAATACCATGACCAAAAGCAAGTTGGAGAGGAAAGGGTTTATTCAGCTTACACTTCCACATTACTGTTCACCACTGAAGAAAGTCAGGTCAGGAGCTCAAACAGGGCAGGAATCTGGAGGCAGGAGCTAATGAAGAGGCTATCGAAGAATGCTGCTTGTTCCCCATGGCTTGCTGGGTCTGCTTTCTTATAGAACCCAGGACCTCCAACCCAGAGATGGCACCACCCACAATGGTCTGGGCCCTCCCCGATTGATCACTAATTGAGAAAAATGCCTTACTGTTTGGATCTCATGGAAGCATTTCCTCAACTGAGGCTCCTTCCTCTCTGATGACTCCAGTTTGTGTCAAGTCGACACACAAAACCAGCCAGTACACTGGCTAATCTCTCTTCCTCCCTCATTCCTTACCGTATCTTAAGATATGTTCCAGTGGAAATGGGTATTGCTATAGGACGGTCAAAGAGAAACTCACTTTATTGTTTAAAGCAGCGGGTACATGCGGATTGATCAAGAGGGGCCCCTTGTGTTACTAGGTGCATTGTTAGGAAAGTGGTGTGTGTGACTCAAGCCCTGTGGAGTCCCAGGGTGCTTAGCTGCCCTCACCTGACTTCCCACTGGCAGTTCCACCCTTGTTTCATGTTGAAAAACTTCTGCAAAGCAAACCTGAATCTGTGAAGAGCCTTGTGTTTCCAACTTTGATAAGCAGGATTTGCAATTAAAACTGAAACTTCAAGGACCATCCTTCCCTTATTATTTATTTACCTTCTTGAATTGAAACTTGATTTTTTTTTCCCCAGCCCCATCCAGGCTCAGAGAGCTAAGAAACACCTTTGTTCACGGCCCCTAATCTCAAAGCGCAAAGTCATTACTTATTTATGGGCTGTCTGAAGGGATTTTTCCCCCCACTTCCTTCCAATGTCTTGTTTTTTTGCCGTTATAGCTTCTGACATTTTGGAACACGTTTCTGAGATTCAGAGCAATGCTGAGACTTAGCATGAAGGTGACCTTCATGAAAACGCTAGCTCTCCCAGACTTCTAGGGGAGGCATGATCCTCCCATGCCTGGTTTAAATACACTATGAATTTCCATTACTGGAGAGAAGGGCAGCCTGCACACGCCACCCTTTTGTTATTTAGACAAAAAGCAACTCTGTGCCACCAAGCTTTTGGGAAAACATGGCTGGCCTAGCAGAACCAGGTTTTGGTCTACTCATTACATTTCATGACAGACAGCTGCCCTTAGGCAAGAATATCTATCACTTCATCATTTGGAAGACTCTGAGGAGACATGTAGACCTTACCAATGGAAACATTTTTCACTCCAGTTTCAATCTTGGTTCTTAGAACATGCTTGATCATACTTATACTATACATGCACCCATCATCCTTCATTTTACTTTCTCTTCATCATTGTCCTCCTCCTCCTCATTATTTTTTCTTTGAAATTTGGTGATTATAAATTAGGAAGAAAGTGAGTGAATTAGTTTTTAATTGTCAATTAGTTTTCAGGTTTAGCCCCACAGAGAGTCTACTCTTGCAAAAGAATGATTATAGTGTTGTTTAGAGTCGGAATACCAGAGCTGGATTGCTTTAAAACCCAGTTCACTTCTCACTAGCTCCCAGAGTTTGGTCAAGTTGCCCAAACAGTCTCTGTGCCTTTGTTTCTCAGAAAAAAAGAACATGTTGGAATCCTTTTAAGCACTGACACAACACTGACAATGTATGATGCAATGCCAGCCATAAAAACAAAGGAATGAACAGAAACCGTTTAGAACCAAATGGGAGTGGGGCTTCCATGAGATTGTAGAGACTTTGAGAGCTGGACAAGGACTGTGTTGAAGATGTTCTGTGTGGCTCTGTGTAGAGCAGTATGTATCTGATATAGCTCAGATCTCTACAGACAGAGTCTACGGAAGTTAAGAGATTACTAGTCTTCCCCAGAGAATTACTTTGGCTTTTAAGATGTGATGTACCAATGATCCTTTTTTTCTTGTTGAATCCTGGGTTTAAACAAGGTCATTTTACCTTAATCTTCAAGTAACTCTCCTTGTAATGGTCCAACCTCTCTTCCTTCATTTACACAGTTATCTGAGGTCACTGTTCTTGGCATTTTCATTCTGGGTAGGGCTTTGTGGCTTGGGATGTGGAGACTGTCTTCCTAGCCTTCCTGAGGGACAGTTCCAGTGTCTCAGATAATGTGAACTCTCCATTGCCCCTTTTCACTCTCCAGGCTTTGATTTAAACAATGAACAGCAACAACAGCCACAGGAACTATATTGTATTCCCGTTCTGAACTCACCTTCAGAATTGTTGCTATTAATAAAAGAAAAGATTATGAGTAATATAGAAGCAGACAGGGTGAAAAGTCTGGGATCCATTCTGGAAACCCTATCCTGGGGCTCCCTTTCTAGAAAAGATAATTGTTTTGACGTCATTTTCACTTAGATTACAAACAATTAGATGACTTCAGCACTGTTCATGAACCAAAATGATTAGTCACTTTTAAGTGACTACGTTCTCAAGCCTGTTTCCTCTAAGCTTCTGATGTAGTTGTTCTTATGAGAATCAGCTGAACCACAAACCGATGCTTGCCCCTTGGAGCAGCAGCTGTTCCGATTTCCCATGTTCCTCTTAGAGCTGAAACGTCACTGATCTCCATCACCACATTCTCGCTCTTTCACCCCTGGCATGGAGAGAAGGGCAGCTGTGTCATTTTTCTTACATGCCTCCTCCTGTGCCCATCCTTCCCCGTGAGTATGGTATACACCCTGTGGCTCCTGTCTTAATTCACCTGTGCTCAGTAAAAGGATGAAGCTTTGTTTTGTTCCACTGATTCATATTGTTCATTTTCACCAGCACGTGATGGCATTTGTGTGAGATCATACAAGATGGTGTATGAACATCTCTTTGCAGTGTGAATGAACATCTCTTACGATTCAGCATTTGACATAAAAAATGTTTTTCATTTTGAACACTCAAGTTACTGCTCTCCCCAGATATCTCACTTGTACTAATTCAGGGCCAATATGGCACCAGGTCTTGGATGAATCAGAGCAAACTGTCGTGATATGTGTTTTCACATTCTACCAGTTGAATTGGCCAATCCAATTCTATCAATTACACAGTGTCTAAAGAACTTGTGTTTTTCTTAAGTTAGTCGGGAAATGAATGTTATATTCAGAGGAACAATAATGTCTGTCTGGCATATCAAAGACTGTGGCGATTATAAAATTATACATAGTTTAGCTTCTTAATATCTGTAGTCACAAGAGAGGGAGGTGAAAATTTATTCTTGAGAATGAGAATGAACAGAGCCTTCTATCTTATCAGCTTCCTCCATGAGGAGTCCCAGCATATGCTGAAAAAATTCAAGAAAGCATCCTATTTAAAATGTAAGACAATACATGTGGCCCCAGATGATGATGATCACATCTGAGCTATAGCTGAGAATAGCTGACATCACAGGAAAATTCTATTTATTACACATATTGTAAACATTGCAAACATGGATGTTTTAACAGTTGTGGCCATTGCCAACTGATTACATACGGTGTCTTAGAGAGATGTGTTGAGGAAGGGGGCCTCAAACTGAGCACAGTGAAGAAGAATACAGATAACAGTGATAGCTGATCTGAATAGCCCTGAAAGATGAGTTCAGGTTATTTAAGCTGTCCAAGGTGGAAACTCTCCCCCAGGTATCCAGATCAGAAAGTCCTTAGTCTTGTCTGAAAAAACTTTACAGCAAACATCCTACAATGCTGAGGTCAACACCAAAGCAAAGACAATGAATCTAGTATCTCTATAGTGTTAAGGTTGATCACTTTATCCCAGGAGTTGCTTGGAGCCCTGGGTTGTAGAAGAAGGTATCACATTCCCTCATTCTCAAGGAAAGTCCTGATTCCTTCCATCAGCATCACAGTGAACCCATCCCTCTAATCCAGCTTTGGAAGTCACCCTCACCGCACAGGAGAGAGCTGGCAGGCAAAGCTCAGAACAGAAGCACCGGTGGGAACTGAGGCTCAGCTTTGCCCATGGCACTGGGAAGTTGGCATAGCACCAGTTAGAGTGCCTATAAATCCTAGGTCTCACGTATTTCCTTCACATCCTGGCAGGGGAAGATGTCTGAGTCAATCAAAAACTACATGTTTCAAGTTGCTCAGTCCTTTGGTTTTGTGACAGAACACACAACATTTTGGGAGGTTCAGAATCTGATTCAAAATGTCACTAGAACAACATTTAGATCCTAAACCAATCTCTAGATCTTAATTTCAATTCAGCCACTTCTGGATCCTATGAACTTAGCTGTAAGCCAGTTACCTATGCAACAGGGACCACTTCGCTGGGACAGGTAGTGACAGCCCTGTGAAAACTGAAGGAACTGTGTGCAGGTGCTGGTAGATACTCATCATTCACTCACCCACATTGAGCAGAAGACAGTCAGTGCTGACTGGGTTTGTCTTTTTTGGGCCAGACTCCCCCATACTTATTTTGTAGTCTTGTGAGACTTGTCTCACTATTCCACTGAGCCAGGTCTTCTTTCAAAACAGTGATGTCAAGCTCTCTGTGACATCAGAGTCACCTGAAGGGCTTGTTTGAATGCTGGGACATGGACCTTCATGTTTCTGACCCAGAAATATGGAGAAGCTCGGAGTTTTGCATTTCTTACAAGTTCCTGAGTGACATTGATGCTTCTGATCCAGAGAACAGGCTTCAGGATTGGGCGTATCCAAAGCATCCTTTACATTCTACTCCAACAGGCGTCTAGGCAACCATACACCCATGATGGAAAACCTCCCCAAGGTTTAGGAAAGGATTCCATGCCTAACTGCTCATGACCATCTTCTGGAGTTTTTTATTTTCAATGCAGATGCCTGGCTTTCCTATCCATTCAGTTGTAGTTGGAGGGGAACGTGTGTTTTGCAAAAACTATGACTTAGTTTCTGATGATTGCCAAAATTCTGGTGCCCTGACAAGTGCTGGGCTAAGTCTCCCATAGTCACTGCTGTCTTTCATTTTCCCATAAACTACAGTCAGAGAACACAGGTGACTTTTTCAAGGTAACTTAGCTGGGTAGTGGTGGGGACTAGACTTAAAGCCACACATCCTGACTTCAGAGAACAGGCTCATAACAGGGGCAATTTCAGGCCCACCTAATCTGCATCGAATTCCAAAGTTGTCCAATATTTGGAGCATGATCTATGGAGAAATGGAAGTAAAAAGAAACCAAGAACTATGTTAAAGAGAGCTAGTGAAATTATTCATTGATGTGATTTGGCCAAGAATACTTTAACTTTCATTTTGACAAATGCTGCATCTACCTTATGAAAATGCCATAGAAACAAAAAGGAAGTACTTTCTGCACAAAACAGAGCCATGTTGATGGAGAGAGTGAGAGTTTTCCTTAGCAATGGGCTGGATGGGCAGAAGCAGACTGTGGAGTCTGGTGTGGGGAGTTTGGACTGCGGACCCAGGAAGGAGAATAAAGCGGTATTCCCTCTTCTAACCCTATTTCATCAAAGCAGCCAACACATGTAAATGGGAATGCCAACACTCCCAGTTCCTAGCAAGGCAGATAGCTGTTGTGTCAACAGCTAATACACAACTTAGCTTGAGTATCCTGCTTTGCCCATTTTTTTCCTTCCAGTTGTATACACAGGAACCCTGGAACATTATGTAAGGTGTATATATATAAATATATATATATATATATTTTACCAAACTTAAGTGCTACACACACATTTTATTGCAGTGTGTTACAACCAGGAGAGACCTGTTTATTGCTGTGTTTCACAACTCAAAGAGTTCCTAGACGTCGTCTAATCTACCCATTATTTTTTAATGTGGGGAAATTTAGGCTCAATGTAGGAAAAAGACTTAATGTCTACTACTGGTCAGGGACAGAGGTCTGGACACAGACCACATCTCCTGGCCCCCAATCCCTTTAAATAAAATTCTGATATTTGCCTGTTGTCCCTTAATAGAATTTACTTTGTTAGAAGTCACTGAATGCAACATACCCTGGCTGCCTCCCCCGTACAAATGCGGTCTTAAAAAAACAAGGAGAACAGCAGCAACAACAAAAATGTGCACCCATACCTGTGCCAGTAGTTTTACTTGTATTTTTTTAAATGATCTCATATGAGATTATGAGAATTGTGATACTTTTCAAGGCCTTGGCTGTGGCCTATATGGTATATATAGGAGAGGCAGTTTAGACTGGTGTCAGCAGACAATAACACCCAGAAGAATTCCTGGAGCATGAACTCGTCTACCACATTTCAAACAGTCTGAGGTTGTACTACAAGTTTATAGTCAGAGACTAATGGCTGCGAGTCATGCTCTGGCTGCTGCAGACCTGCTGGTTTGAAACTTCATTGGCCTAGAGGATGGAATAAGGGAGCTTTTATTGCCTGTACTCAGTTGCAGCTAGCATACCAGAACTAACAGGCTAAGCATCCAGATCTTTTCAATTAGATGGATGGCTGTTCTTCTAGGTTGAAGGGATTTAACATTCTCCTGGTCTTCCTCTCCCCACAGGGCATGTGCACATCACAGACTTCAACATTGCTGCTCTGCTGCCCAAGGAGACTCGGATCACCACCGTGGCTGGCACCAAGCCTTACATGGGTGGGTGTGAGCAGCCTCATAAGTGTCTTTCCTTTGTAAGAACAGATCTTTTACTTCCGATTCTTCTAGATATCATTTTCTGAGGGTCAAATTCAAAAGGACTTGGACTGGGAGCAGACAGACTCCTTTCTGGTTGGCTTTACCTGAGAGACTACTGATGTCATAGGTCTGAAGTGAAGCACCTGCATTAGTAAGCTACATGGGGTGACCTTGGTCCAGCAGGGACATCGATCACATTCTACAAATGCTAACTTATGACCTAGTTAGTTGTCCATTCATTTCTGAATGAAAGTATGAATTCAGTCAATAGCTAATTACCCATGTATGTGGAAAGGTTTTGACATGATCATGACTCATTAAAAAACAACACATGCAATGTCTTTACCTCATGGAACTTATATGCCAGTAGGAGAGATCCAAAACAAATCAAACAAAAAGAATTGGAAATAAGTTGAGTCGTAACATATGACCAGAGTAATGATTTTAGTACTATTTAAATTATACTGTGTGCATGTGGTAAAGTTTCCAAAGTACCTTCCCAGTTATGGGGTTAGCTTCAATTTTGTTTCCACAGCAATCTCATGAGTTAATTTTCTAAATAGGTTATGCCTAAGAACTGTTCGGTTATGTGCACTCCTTCGTTTACAGTGATATATGGAACTGGGTTTTGCCTTGATGATTAAGAATTTAACAGTGCAGGGCTGGGAGTCAAATAGCCCATAAAATCTACATTTAACTGTAGCAACAAATCAGCTACAAATTCCATCTTCAGTTGTCACCGTTTTAGTAGAACTTGCTGTACCCCATGTCTGCGCTGAAAAATATAGAGAACTATTTATCAGGAGACATGTGGTTCTCACAGTAATGAAGTGCATCCTCTTTCACATCACTGTTACAGATGTGAGTTAATTCTCGTAATTATCTGTTAATTATTGATTTGGCTGTAATATCAGGATCTTAACCCTCAGATTCGAGTTAGATGTCTGTCTGTCTACTGGGCTTGCTGTTTCCTGAGTTGACAGACCCTAGTTGTTCATGAAGGTTTCTTGACTATGGAGACACATATTAGTATTAGGAGACAGAACTTGACTGTTTTGGTGTGTGGAGTGGGATTGGTAAAACTTGTGGTCCAGCTTTACAGGGGTACCTCCAGTGCTGGCTTCCAGTTTAGAAAGGAGACTCATGTCTGTATGGCTCACGGGAGATGCCACCAGTTGCAGTACAGACTAACTGCCACAGACTTTCTAAGGGTAGATCCCCTGTCATCAACAGGCTTACAAAGTCATCAGGTCACTGGTGTGTAAGTGGAAAGAAATGACAAGCGCTGCCAACCCTGTGGCAGACTCATCATACTTATAGTAGGAACTCATGGTCCCTTTTACATGTTCAAATGCAAGCAGTGCTTGCTAGGAAACAAGAGATGGAGGTGTGTAAGAACCAGCCCAGTCCTCCATCCCTCACCGAGGCTTGAAAATCCAGCCTGGTGAGGTGGGTGACTGAACTCTGAGAGACTGCTTTCAAGATTCACCATGCTAAATTTTAAGATATCTTAAGATAGCTTCAGCATTATAATAAGCAAAGGGATTAAAATGTACTAGGTCGTAATAATTGATAAGCTGTCAAGGGGGTGGGGATGGGGTACCAACCAGTTACAAGACATTTAACAATGCAGGATTACTAGTAGATGATAGGAGAAGGAAACCCAGTCTCTGCTTGTGCATCTCTCTTGCTTAGTTAAGATCTTAAAACTGTTGAAACTGAAGGGATTCAGTAAAGGGTAGAATGGATAAAACAAGCTAGATACGGCCAGAGAATTTCATAGAAAAGGGTCTGAACTTGAAAAATCAAGGATAAGAGCAATGTCACTTTCAATTTTTTTCCTACCAGTTTTTTATTCTTTTTCCTCCATGTAAGGGGTGGAGGGTCACTCTTACATGAAAGACCACCATAAGATTGTCTCGGGGTGTGGGGGGTGGGGGAGGCCTTATTATATGTAACATTTGAACAACTGCAGATTTCATGGCTCTCAATGACCAGTGGGGAGAATAAATTTCTTTTGTCACTTCTAAAATAATGAGCACATATAATTCAGCCCATTTTCCTGCCTACAACCCATGGCACTCTAGTGATAAAAGGGAATATCTAGGCCTGCTGGTCTGTCCAGTTTATTCCCCAGGTTTCCACATTATAGGCTATTTTCTTGGCGCCAAATCATAAAGCCTGCATCTGAGGTTTCTAGGGATGGTTTCCATGGTGACAGGAGCACGGGAGGACCACTTTCTTTCCTCTCTCCAGTCATTTTAAGTGTAATATCTGTATAATTTAATTTTTTCACACTTGTCATTTCTAACATCTTCATAGGATAGAACAAGGAAATTGGGATCCAGACACCAGGCCAGGCACCATCCCACTTTCACACTTTTAATGGGCAATTGCTAGTATTTATCAAACTCTTCCTGTGGGCCAGACAATGTATTATATACTTTACATCCATTTATTCATTTATTTTTCTCAACCTGACCTATAAGGCTGACTATACCTATCATTTTTACATGAAGACATCCTGGCCCTCAGCAATTTACCATGATCTGCACAGTAACAATTAGTCACCTTGAAATGGAAGTCTTAGCCTTAAGTCAAGCTTTGTCTGGCTTCAGATATTGGGAGGCATAAGGGGTGAAATGTGTGCTGGGTAATTTCCACTCATGATTCTTTAAGAGCTGAACCGGTTTAGTTTGCCATTCATGTTAGAAATGTTTCCCATTGTATTCCAAAAGGAATGTGTGAAGGACATTGCCTATGGCTTTACGAACAACTACTTTTGCCTTTTTTTGTGTGTGTGGGTTTTTTGATAGATCTCTTTTCATGAAGAATTATGAGTAGGAGCCTGCTTTTTCTTTTAAAGTTGTATTCATATAATTTAGTAAACTATGCCTTCTGGTAATTTTCTAGCACCCACTTCACAATGGTGGTGTAGAACACTAGCAATTAACTAGAAAGAAAGGAAGGAGGGAAGGAAAGAAGGAAGGAAGAAAGGAAGGAAGGAAGGAAGTAAGGAAGGAAGGAAGGAAGGAAGGAAGGAAGGAAGAAAAGAAAGAAAGAAAGAAAGAAAGAAAGAAAGAAAGAAAGAAAGAAAGAAAGAAAGAAAGAAAGAAAGAAAGAAAGAATAAAAAACTAAGAAGACAGAAGTCTAGGCTGAATCAAAGATGAGATGAGAGGCGTGTCCTCCACATGCTCTTACCTTCTGCCCTCCTATTCCACCTCATTATTCTAGCTCTCCTTAGAGCTGTGTGAGTATAATCCAGATCAATTAGAAGTTCACCAGTTAAAGCCTTCTCCCTATTAGAGGAGAAACTGTGGGGGAGGGGGGCGCACACGCACACGCAAATGCACGCACATGTTCACTATGAAAAAAGTGCAGAATGCTGACAAGCAAAAAGTAAATTAATTCTCCTACCAATAGATGTTTATAGCTTCCTTTTGAATGTTTTTCTCTATGTACAAACACATTTATCTTTACATTTTTAGAAGTTGGATTAGACTAAATTTCTTAAATGTAAATATCCATTTGATAATGTAAAGGTAACAACATTTGCTAGCATGTAGTAAGCACTTATGATGTCCCAGGTGCTTTCTTACATCTTTAATATTTATTACATCATTAAAACAACTCCATGAGACAGATTTTACTACTATTTTTATTTCAACATTAAAAAATCCAACCCAGAGAGAAAATGGCATGATCATAACCACAGAGCAAGTGATTGACAGAGCATGAAATTAAACCTGAATCTAGAAACACCTAGCCTGGAACGTTTGGGGAGATGGCAGTGATAATGGTGTAATGACTGACATTTCTAGCTTGCTGGGTACATTCTGACAGCAGGCCTTGGATCACTCACTCTGAAGACAATTCTGCAAGGCAATAACTGTTGCTGTTTCCACTTTAGAGGTGAGCAATCTGAGCAGTTAGCAAACAGGTCCAAGGAAAGATGAGGAGCATGGTCTAAACCACAACCTGTGGGCTGTGACCTCTTTGGGAAGGGAGGCTCTAATGACCCTTTCATACGGGTCACATATTAGATATCCTGCATATCAGATATTTACATTATGATTCATAACAGTAGCAAAATTACAGCTATGAA